CAAGACATCACATACCTTAAATCCTTGCAGCACCCTCCGATCTCAGACAGCAATTTCCCACTGAAATCAGCGCAATTATGCAGATATAGTTCGTGCAAGGAAGGCTTCAGCAGAAGCTGGATAGCTGAATCATCAAGCTGACCACAATCTACCTTTAAGCTCCTTAGGAAAGGGTTTGGAGGCAGCAGAGGCCTCAGAAATTCCACCGTTGGAGAAATTTCCTACACGAGAAAAATCAAAACGAGATAAATAACTAAACCAAACAATGATCCAAGATGATGCAGCTAGCAAAACGGTCAAATTTGAGCTTCATTTCTCTCAAAATTATCAATAAACGACCTAGCAGAGTAATTTCTTGTAAATCTTAAAAAACAGAGCCAAACGATTTCCGGATTGGAGTATCCACAACGCAAAGGAAAAAGGGATCTCCAAGGGCAATAACTAGAATCTCATTTCAAAAGTAGAAATTGAGAATGAACTAGAAGAAAATTGAAGAAGAATACTTACAAGAAGATGGAAATTAGGGAGAAAATTGAGAAGTTGAGAAGCACAGGAATGGAAGGTCGTGCAGGTGGAAGCAATGGAGCAGATAGAAGGCAAATCGAGCTTGGTCATGATGGTAGCAAGGACAGCAGAAGGAAGGCGATCGAGGCTTTCCACGCTGCCATTCTCGTCCGCCATTTTCGTCTGGTGAATTCAATTCAAGCTTCTTCAACGTTGATTCAATGGAAGATGGATGCGGTTCTGGGGAGGCACCGTCGTCTACGACGACTTTATCTTGATCCACAGCCGCGCTCCGACCCGATGGCATCTTGGAGATATATATTAGACAGAGTTTTAAATAATAATAATAATAATATATAAAATTATTATATAGGCTTGCTTTTTACACAATTATTTTGGAAAAGAATGATTTAATTAAACAATATAGGAATCAATAACAAATATTTATATTAGATAATTGATTAACAAATAATTAAAACCATTCAAATTTACGTTATATTTAAAATTTTGATATTTACAATAATACCCCTAAATTTTTATACAATATTGTTGAATTTTCAAAAGTTTCGATAATACCTTTAACCTAAAAAAGATATATAAAAAATATCCTTACATAAGTTCGGAATGTAAATCGTGATCATTTTATTTTAAAAGAAGGGTTTAAAAAATACTTATGAACGAAAAGTTGTTACAATGTTTTAAAAATACCAAAAATACCCTCGAACTTTCATAAGTTTTATTAATATTCTTAAACTTTCTTATCGAGTTCAAAGATACCCTCGCTATTAATAAATGGACGGAAAGTTGTTACAACATTTTAAAAATATAAAAAATACCCTTGAAGTTTCATCGATTTCATTAATACCCTTAAACCTTCTTACAAAGTTCAATGATACCGTTGCTGTTAGTAAAGGACAGAACCGTCATTACAACGTTTCTAATTCCTTAACTTTCAAAATTTTCATTAATACCCTTAAACTTCCTTAAAAAGTTGAAAGATACCCTCACCATTAATAAATGGACGAAACCGTTTAAAAACTACCCACAAACTTTCAAAAATAGCATTAGTAATAGAAAACACGAGACAACGAGACAATAAGAAGGTAAACCTTAATAACAACTCTAGCTTTTACATAACATCTGTGAGATACATCAAGGCAATGGTGTTAAAAACTCTTCATACTTCATTTTTGGTATTCATATTTATTTGGTTGATACCTCTACTATCATGAAAATATCAACGTATCGATAAAACTTACCACTCTAACTCGATCTAGTGAGAACATTTCTCCAGCTCTTGGGTCGGGATTCCGTGATTTCTTCGACATCGTCCTGTCCTGTTCGTGTTGACTTAATATTTCCCAGAGAAAAGGACTTTCTAGTTTATATATATCAAGGGACTTCTAAAACTCTCCTAGTTTTTTAGGATCTCTTCTCATCAAGTTGAACTTTCTAAACTGAAACTCCTATCAGCAGCATAATCCACAAAGCTGTACAAAGGCATCACTCGGTCTCCATACTTCTCAAATCCTTCCAATTCCTTCTTTGCTTTAGTCCTCAGCTCCTCTGCCACCTCCTTGGCCTTCTCAATCCCATATACTCCAACATAGCTCTTCCCTTTTCTCTTCTTACTCTCATCGGTTTGATCGAGTTTCTTTGCTTGTTCTTTCCGAATATCGTCTACTACCTGATACAACACGCCGACCGCTCTTCCGTACCTTCTCAATCTCTGTACCTCATGGTCTTCTGCTCCAGCTAGAAGTCCTCCGCACACGGCGGAGCATTGGCTCATTTCACCAAATTTCTTTTCTTGGACAAATTCGATGGAGTTGGGGCCTCCCTCGAGGTCAAGAAACTGTCCTGCTGCCATGCCTCTGGAACCAACGGCTTTGGCAATCTCGGCAACCACACGGAGCAAGCGGGACTCGGGAACGAGGTCGAATGGTGTGTGTGAGACAATGTGTTGAAAGCCAAGGGGAAAAAGTGCATCACCAGCGAGAATTGCCATGTCAACACCATAAACTGTATGGTTTGAAGGTTGGCCGCGACGTGAGGGATCGTCATCCATGCAAGGAAGGTCATCATGGATCAATGAAGCTGCATGAACCTGCCAAAGGATCAATGATCAATTTAATACACTAGTTTGAAATGTGACAAGAGCTATTAAGAATAACCTAGCAACATGCAGTATATTGTTACAAAGGAGATGATGTTATCCGCATCGCCTTTGATATCACAAAGAGTCAATAAGCTCTCTCAATTCTTAAAACGCTAAAACTGTCTTCAAGAGTGATTAATTTTACTCTTGAATGTTAGATCTCACATTGCATCTCGCCATAACTTGTTTTTCATTCGAAGGGAGGTACATAATTCGGATTTGGGTGTTTTTTTAATAGTTCAACAACATGGGAAGATGAAGGGAGATTCAAACCTCTGACCTCTTAACTAAAAGCACATGTCTTAACCAAACCGAGAAAAAGAGAAGTGCACAAATATAGTATAAGGTAAGAGAGCATACATAACCAAGTAAAGCATAACTCGAAAAGTGTATATAATACAGAATATGTTCCAACACTACTAACAAGTTTGGAAGTGATTTTGAAAGGATTAGAATCACCTTTTTCATGTTCAAAATCACCTCGAAACATGCCTATAATTATTCAAAAACAATTTGAAGTGTTGAATATGACGAATCTAAATCACTTCCAAGCAGAGTACGCCTTATGTTTTCTATCAAATTCTCTATCAACCACAGTCCTTTGAAGGGTTCTCTCACATTTATTCATCCGACCCTTTACTCATTGAGAGCCTAGCAAGTGTAATTCCCAAATCAACTCACGTTTTGAAACGTATTGAATCATTGACCTATAAACCAGAATGCATAATGTAACAGACTGCGAACTGAACAGTATTTTATAGCCTAAAATGTTGCGCCCCCCTCCCCCCATCCCTCGAGTTTGTCCAACCTAATTCCCAAATCAACTTGGCTGTTCATACATACAAGTTTAATTCACATCTGGAGATTGATATGAACAGCCTGTTTCAGTAACTTACCACTTATTGACGATTGAAAGAACTATTACAGAAACTAGCAAACATAATGTACACAAACATGAAATCATAACCGCAAGTGCATATTCGAATCGAGCAATTTGTAGTCAAACTTCGTCAATATCCCAAGAAATAACAGAACACGAGAATTAAAGCGAATCTCAATCCAGAAACGTAAAATTAGGAATGAGAAAGAACCATTTCGAGAGCACAGGCGGTAGGGAATGCAGCGAGGCGGTCGACGCCGAAGAGCTCACAGGCGGCGACGCACATAACCGGAGGAGCTCGCTTGGCTCCGTTAGCCAAAACCGAGTAACGCATAGCTTCGTAGATCTGGTCCGGGTACTGAATGGGAACAGCTTCATCCAGCTTCTGGTTGATCTCGAGAATCAGCTTTTTCCAGTACGTTTTCAAATCAAACTGAATCGATTTAGCTTGAGAAGAAACCGCTGAAGAAGAAGAAGAAGAAGAAGATGAAGAGCATCGAATTGAAGCCTTTGTTCCAAAATTCATTCTGAGAGAGGATGCCGCCATGATCGAAAATGCCATCGTCGATGCTCTCCGTCTCTTGTTCTCTGTGAACTTTGCGGTCGAAAAATGGAGTCTGAAAGGAAGGTGGATGTCTGAGAGGGATAAGCACATGGAAGACGACGCAATTGCGGGCCATCAGCATCTGCCATGGATGAGTAAGACGTGATGATAAAAACTAAACTATAACTTATTTCTTTTTTTATTTTAATTTAAATTATTTAATTATTATTTTATTTTCAAAAGTAAAATTAAAAAAATTTAAAACTTTATATTTTGAATATATTTTAAAAAATGGTTTTACCTTTACCGGATGAAAGGGCGATTTTGCCTAACTTTTATTAAACCAAGATATTCTTGTTGTGAAAGCTCGGGAAACACCTCTAACTGGTTCCATCTTTTATTGGAGATTAGCTTATTGAAGAACGGTTTGATATATTGAGATACTCGATTTTTCAAGTAGACGTTAAACGAGCTTTGTAGGGTTCTTTTGCTGATTCATAACTAAGACTTGGCTACTTACCGACCTTACTGGGTCCAGGTCTAAGACTTGGCTCGAGAACCGAAATATAAACACAAGCAACAGTTGTACATTGGCTACGCACTATTCCACGACCGAACTCTTTTTCTCAATTCAAGACTAGACCTACAGAACTCACAACATGCACACGACAGAACTATGCACTAACCCACGTTCGAACCTCCTTTGCTCGATTCAAAACTAGACCTTCGAGACTCACAACGTGCACTATCGGACCGGACCGTGGACATTAGTTTGCCAACCCTAGGGAATCAGCTCACCGACATGTCGGCTAGCTTCAGGCCCAACCTTCATGGCCCGTGGGCTTCAATTTCCTCGTAAGCCCAAGCCCTCTATCGTCTCCCTCTCATTTGACCTCTCGTCCCGTATTTCGGTACCCATTTCTACTCTAGCAGAGCAATGGCGTCCTTCAGCTTCGGCTCTCTGATACTGCTCTCAGCGATTTTCAGGCTGGCACTTATCCTCTACGGCGAGTGGCAGGATGCGCACATGGAGGTCAGATACACTGATGTCGATTACATCGTTTTCTCGGACGCTGCTTCTCTAATGGCGGCGGGAAAGTCGCCCTATTTGAGATCCACATATAGATACTCACCATTACTTGCGTTTTTGCTCATACCGAACTCTATCTTCCATCGCTGTTGGGGAAAATTTCTGTTTTCAGCGTCAGGTGCCTTCAATTTTTTCATTCGATTCGTTACATTTTATTTATCTTCGGGTTTCTATGTTAATTGCCTTGTTTCTGTCTAGATTTACTCGTTGGATTCTTCATACGTACTATTTTGAAGAAACGTGGGGTTCCTGAAAATTTATGCCTCGGTTCTGTTATGGTTTGGCTTTTCAACCCGTTTACGTTTACCATTGGCACCAGAGGGAACTGTGAGCCTCTTGTTTGTGCAATGGTTCTTAAGATCCTTTTGTGTTTGATGAACGGTGTAAGTTTCTTTTCTCTTTCAGTTTACATTTGGAACTGTGCTAATTAAACGAAATAGGAAGTAGTTTAACTTAATCATGCAAATTTGTAGTTTCGACAATTGGTGGCGCGAATTTAATTTGTTTGCTTCGAGACTGGGAAATATTGTCATTAGATGTCGCAGGATCTTGCATATTTCATAATATTCATAGTTCTTATTTTGAATTGTAAGCTGCAGGTTTGATTAAATTTGTGTGAAGAAGATTTTGTAATTTTCAAATAATTTGTTACTGCTAAGATTCAACGTAAATGTAACGTAATTTCACAACATAACCAGTAACTTTGCACATTTAGTTCGAAATTTCTGATAGAAACTAGAAAGATTCCCGGTTTCAATTGTGGGATGTTACTGTTTATTAGGATATTGGTGCATTTGTTGGTAGATTATCTATTTCTAGTTTAGTATAACTCTCTTTCCCTGTAACAGGTCAGTTGCTACAAGCTGCATTTTGGTATGGACTCGTCGTCCATTTCCGAATCTACCCGATCATCTATGCCCTCCCGATTCTTCTGATTCTTAATCCAAATTTATTCAAATCTGGCATGAACCCTGCTCTTCAGAAATGGAGTCAGCATGATGAAAAGGCTCCTCAGAGAAATTTACAATCAAGATTGGCTTGTATTTTTAGTCCATGGTTTCTTTTGAAATCCATAATGACTAAGGAGAGGATACTTTTTGGCCTCATTTCTGGTTTGGTGTTCATCTTCTGCACCGCATTGTTTTATTATCTATATGGTTGGGAATTCCTGCACGAGGCACTGCTCTATCATCTTACACGAACTGACCCAAGGCACAATTTTTCAATTTATTTCTATCACATCTATCTTCATCATGAGCTTGAATTCTCTGTTGTGGAGAAGCTCATTTCATTTCTACCCCAGTTGGTAGTGCAGCTCGTTCTCGTTCTATCATTTGCTGAAGATCTTCCATTCTGCTGGTTTGCGCAGACCGTAGCCTTCGTGGCATTCAACAAGGTTCGTGTCCAAATCCATTTTTAGATCTTAAGAAGTTATAGATAGAGCTAAGATTCCTGTCAAAACTTGAGTTTTTTCAAGTTAATTGCACTTTCTGTTGAGATAAGACGTTTGAGTTTTTGCAGATGTAGAGTGTCAGCTGGTTTATTTTGTGCATGTCACCTAAGTTTAGTTAGTTCAATATGCGGATTTTGTTCTAGTGATGAGTATTCTAGGGCATTGTTCTTATTTTAAAGCTTGCAGGAGTTTTCTTGTGATATCCCACCTCGGTTGGAGAAGAGAACGAAACATCATTTATAAGGGTGTAGAAACCTCTCCCTAACATATGTGTTTTAAAAACCTTGTGGGGAAGCTCGAAAGGGTAAGCCTAAAGAAGACAATATCTGCTAACGGTGGGCTTGAGTTGTTACAAATGGTATCAGAGTCAGACACCGGGCGATGTACCAGCGAGGAGGCCCTTCCCCGAAGGATGGTAGACATGAGGCGGCGGCGTGCCAGTAAGGACGCTGGGCCCCGAAGGGGGTGGATTTGGTGGGGGTCCCATATCGATCGAAGAAAGGAACGAGTGCCAGCGAGGACACTGGGCCCTGAAGGGGGATGGATTGTGATATCCCACATCGGTTGGGGAAGAGAACAAAACACCGGTTATAAAGGTGTGGAAACCTCTCCCACGTTTTAAAAACCTTGAGGGTAAATCTAAAAGGGAAAGCCCAAAGAGGATAATATCGGCTAGCGGTGGGCTTGGGTTGTTACATTTCTTCTCAGGCCTTTATGTACAGCTGAATTGGGTTTCTCCTGCAATTTCTCTCATTTTCTTATTTCGTTTATGATGAAATGTTGGAGCTTTTGGTATCTATTAGAACCCATTCTCCCTGATCATTGGTATTGTCTTAATGCTTAATTAAGTTTTTGAGAAGCTCTTTATATTTGATCAACAGGTCATCACAGCACAATATTTTGTCTGGTTCTTCTGTCTTCTACCTTTGATTCTTCCTTGGAGTAAGATGAAGCTTAAATGGAAAGGCGTGTTCTCGATAGCGATCTGGACGGGAGCACAGCTTCACTGGCTGATGTGGGGTTATTTGCTGGAGTTCAAGGGAAAGAATGTGTTGATTCAACTGTGGATGGCTAGCATCATGTTCTTGGCTGCAAACACAACCGTTTTGACCTTAATCATTCACCAACACAAGCTCTCTGCGCTTTTCATGCTACCCAATAGCACAGCCGACAAGACGAAGAAATCCAACTGATGATGTATGTACTTTGTGAGTTGAATGATAGTTTTAATGATATAATTGTTTACAACTCTCTTTTTGTTGTCAATTTTTTAGTAGCTTTGAATGATATTTTTATGAAAAAGACGTAATTTAGTGGTATTTTTTCCCTCCATGTAGCAGCAGCGTTGTTCTTTACATTTCTCGTTTTGTTCTCTGAAAATGAAGATGTTGGAAAACTGAGGTTATGCTTAGTACGTTGGTCGTTTTGAAAATGAAATTTTTGATTGACTGGATCAGTCTCCAAATGGAAGAGTTGTTAGGTTATGGACGACATGACCATGAGATCGGCATCAGTACTGCAAACCCGAAAAATCCACATTGAAGTACAAGTTACAAAGACTTGAGATAAGAGTACATTTGAGAAAAAGAACAAGAGAATCAAACACATATGGATTGAGACAATAAGCAATCCATTCTTTCGGTCCTTTATGGGAAGCACTCGATAACTGATTGGATAGCTTGAATGCGAGTAACAGTGAATCGACTAAAACCAGCTGCATTAATAACATATGCCCATTCTTTACGTGTTCTTTCTTTGCCAGTGCTGGTATGAGCCATCATCACCAAGTCCAACATCAACCCAACATCTGATTGCTCGGTTTCTTCTTTTTCATCGATTACCGCATCAACAATAATCACTTTACCTGTGTTCTTCGGAATCGCCTCCTTACAATTCTTTAAAATAGTAATACATTCTTCGTCGTTCCAATCATGTAGAGTCCACTGCCATCAAACATATTTCAAGAATGATTTAAACAATCTCTACTTTAAACTCGAAAATTAAAAAACGGTCACAGTCGCACTTTGTTGAGCCTCACAACACAATTATGCAACATCTACTCTCACTCTCGATCAAATTAGCTAGTAAGCAATACGACCTGACAACAAAAAAAACATAGATACACACCTTGATGAAAGCAGCATCAGCATTCGGAACAAAATCAAACATATCACCCGCAACATGCTCCACACGTTCATACACAGGCGACGTAGAAACAACATGAGGAAGATCAAAATTAATACCTCGAATCCATGAACAAGCCTTAACAACAACACTCAAAGTAGCACCATTTCCTCCACCCACATCAACCAAACTCCCAACCCCATCAAAAATCCCTTGACAACCATCAAGTATAGCAGCCACAACCAGCCCCGTAGAGCACCCCATGGCCTCATTAATCAGCCTATTATGCTTCGGATTAGCCGCAGCATAGCCCCACACATCCATGCCATGCGCAGCCTCAAATGGGAACCTGCCGCCACTCTTGACGTGCGCGCTCAAGTTATGCCATGCTGCAAGCATCGCCGGGCTGGCTTCCAGCAGCATGAAGGGGGCCAAGCTGCTGCCGTTCTTGGTGGCGAGCAAGCGCGATAGAGGCGTCTGAGCATAGCCGATCAGGTCGTCGGATATGGAATATTCCTTGAAGATTCCTCGACGGACGAGGAATCTTAAGATTCGATGCAGGAGAGGTGAAGAACAGTGTAGAGTGGAGGAGAGTTGGGGCAATGTCATGGGGCTGCCATGGTCTTCAATGATATCAGCTATTTGAAGCTCTATGGCACATTTTATGGCTGCCATTTCAGAGAAACCAAATATGTATTTCCACATTTGGATGATGGCTTGCCCATCTTCTTCTTCCTTCTTCGACAACGTTTCTTTCTCGGTACCTTCCATTCGATCTCTTGTTCATATCAATCCTTTTCAATCTAGTTTCATTATATAGACGCTCGAAATTTACACTATGTCTGGAAAAATGCTTCTAAATTTTCAAAAAGTATCAATAATATCCTTCCCCTTTGAAAAAAATATTTTTAAATTTTAATTTTTTTATTAATATATTTCAATTTTTATTTTTTTAAAAAAATACCCATGAATTTTAAAGTAGCATTAACACTCTCAATATTTAAAAAGTTTTTATTGTCAATATATGGACAGAAACAAAAACAGTCTATTATCGTCTCTTTCTCAATTAAGTTATTTTTTTTAAGTTCATAGACATTTTTGAAATATGGTATTAACGGCTCTGTCCATATACCTACCATAAGACTATATTTGGACTAAATTTTTTTAAAAGTATTTTTAGGAGTATTTTTTAAACATTTATTTAAAGTTCCGAACTTCTTTGAAAATTTAAAGATATTTTTAATCTTATTTTTTTAAAAGAAATTAAAAATATTATTGAAATTTTTAAAAATTATAGAATATTTACAAGATAAAAAGTATAAAGTTAATTAAATTTTTTAATATATATTAATTTAACGCATATAATATATATAAACTGGTGGTGGAATCCATGACAGTAAAATGATTTTTTTTTTTGAAAATTAATAATTTAAATCTGAAAAGATATCCAATTATTTCTGGCTTTGTCGGGACTTTTGTTTTTTTATTATTTTTTTATTTTTTATAATTAAAATAGTCGTTGAGCTTTAAACTGTTTCAATAAAAAATTTAAATTCTAAAAAAAATTATTAATTTGTGATGAAAATCTTTAATATTTTATTTTAAAATATTCTTAAATTTATAAAATTTTATTTACGTCTTTAAATTTAAATAAATAAAAAAAATTATAAAATACTCTTATTATTAAAATATAAACTGAACTATTCGTATAATATTTATAAAATCTTTTTTTTACTGTTAGTATATGAACCTAAATTATTTATTTATTTTAATTTATCTCGAGTTAGAAAAATAATAATTGAAAAATAAATTGTTTATTTAGACTTTAATTTTATAATTTAATGGAAAGATATTTTTTATATAAAAATATAAACCATTTCTGTCCCAAATTTATTTTTTTAAAAAAAATAAAAGCTAATTATTTAAAAAATTATAACTATAGCTAAATCAAAATAATTTAATAATTATTTATCTAATACTATGATTTTTTTTTAAAGTTTAAAAGAATTTAAATCATATTATTGTTGATTTTTTGTTCAATTAATTTTATATTAAACCTAAAATTAAATGGTCAGGGTTGGAAGAAAGTCAACTTAGACTTGTCTCGAGACATTGACACTTGAGCATGTAAAGTGCACGTCCCCATGGGCTTTGTCTAATCGGCCCAGGTTAAGATGATCTTTCGGACCTCTTAGCCCAGTCGCTCTTTACTTGGGCCCAACATTGTCCCGGCTTGATTCGCTCAACCCCACTCCAGGTAGATATAATCCTTTTTAACTCATTACGTATTGCCGCAGTCAGGAGGTTTTCATACCCTGGTAAGAAATGCTTCGTTCCCCTCTCCACAGTCCACCTCCTTGGGCCCAGCGTCGTCGCTGGCACATCAGCTGGTGTCTAGGTCTGATTCCATATGTAACAGTTCAAACTCATTACTAGCGAATATTGTCCGTCAGTTTCACGACTATAAACACATGTCTATTAGGGAGATGTTTTCACTCTCTTATTTCGTTCTCCTCTCCAACCCACGTGGGATCTGTAACCATTTTTTTTTTTAAAAAAATAAATAAATATTTTAAAATAAAAATTATTTTAGAAATTTTAATTAAATCATTTAATTTAAAGGATTTCCTTTTGATTTGTCTTTTTCTTGACAATAGGAAGTGGAGAATCTTAATGAAATCTTAATCAACCTTCATATATATATATATATATATCTTAGTTATTTAATTAATATTAAATTTCTAATATATAGTTTTATCCTACTTTTATAAAAGTGATTTATGAACCTAATCCCACGTTAAGTAATGCGGTTAGGTACTAATATTCTATAAATGGGTCGAGATTTTAATCGGTATGTACTATTTTTCGACGAGCTCGGAGTTTTAAATTCTCGTTTTCCCGAAATTTATTGTATAAGAAAAATAGTTTTATTTTTGTTTAAATTTAATGAGAAGATTATGTTTTGAATCTTATGCACGTATTAATATAATTAATAGTCTAATATGAACGTAATTCAATTTAATAAGATGTAGTAACATTTCTTAAAGTTTTAATTATTGAATTTTAACGACCCTAAATTTTTCTATTTAATCTAAGGTAATTACTACTATATCTTAACTGCAAAATTTACCTTAACACTCTGTATTTAATGCGGAATTTACGAGCTCTTATTATAAATTATTATAAATGTAACATTAATTTGTCGTTTATTATCTCGTCAAATACATTGTGAAGAAAGAAAAAATAATTATGAATTAAATATCCTATATTAACCTATGGTTTATTAATGCGATTACAATTCAACATATACTAATAATGCAAACGTAATACAATCTATACTACGAACGCAAATGAAATTCAACCTATACCAACTTATACTATGAATGCAAATGAAATTCAACCTATACTACGAATGGAAAACAATCTATTCTATACATGTGCCATGGTCACAGAATTTACGATGCTTCTGTCGGTCTCATATATATATATATATATATATATAAAATACCATTTTGGTCATTGATTTTTCATGTAATTTTAAATATTTAAATTAAATTATTATATTTTTTTAATAAATCTCAAAATTAACACTCGAGTTTATTGTTAGTTTGAAATTAATTTTTATCGATTTTAAAAAATAAAATATTAAAAATAATTTTTCATTCCAGAAAAGATATAAATTGAAATATATTTTCAAAATTTATAAGAATAAAGATTTTTTTTTTAAAAAAAGAAAAAACTAATATTAGAGATTAATTTTAATATTGATTGGAAATATAGTTTTAGCGGATGGAAATTATATATTCTAAATTAGAACAAATTCGATTAGGGTGCCACACATTTGCAATTTCATTACTGTCATCGTTGATTGGTGACAATTCAAGACCTTTGAGTACAGAATCATCTCCAAAAATTTCGGTTACAATAAATATATGCTAAACGTGAATGTTAGACGAACACGAGTCTCTACAATGGTATGATATATATAATTTATATATATTTTTATTTATTTAAACTAAATTAAACCTAAATAAGTTTGTAGTTGAGTTGATAATTCAAAACGATTTTAATTTTTTAATAAGAAAAGAAAAAAAAAATGAAATGAACCTAATTAAATTTTTATCTATAGAATTTGTATAATT